GGAGTAAAAATCAATTACAATATCGTCAGTGTACATACGTGAAAATTCTACATATTGATATATCCACACATCAATATCACACTTGTATACTACCACAAGTCTAGCCAATTCAGATTCAACATTTCAACAATTTCTGGTTGTCATCAAACCTACAATTCATTTATGTTACTCGGTTCACAGTTTATTAATTACTGAATTTTCACATACTTGGTAGTTTTTCTCAATCACATTCAAAGCTATTGAGTTCTGCCTAACCAACTTTTATCATATTATACCATGCATGCGCAATAAGGGAGTTGTAAGTACATTACACGTACAACTGTACACACATATACGTAAGAGTTTAACTTTAATGTACTAACAAAGTATGTACATAAAGTACGTCATCAATATATATATCTCAAAATCCTACACAGATTATTATCACACGCGCTTTTCATGCGTATATAAGTTTAACTTCAATACACTGACAATTAGTATATATATATATATATATGTGTGAGAGAGACATATTTATCCACACTTATATATGGCCAACCATTCACATACTAGTGGTCAACTAGTACCAAACATTTTAGTTGACAACCTAAAAATTGCAAGAACAAATACGAAACATCCTATATATCGCGGTATACGATGTAAAAGTGGAAAATGGGTGTGTAAAATTAGAGAGTCACGTAAGACAAAAAGAATATGGTTAGGTAGATACCCTATACCACAAATGGCTGCTGCTGCCTATGATGTTGCTGCCTTAGCTCTTAAGCCTACTCAACATGTTGTACTCAATTTTCCTCATCTTGTTGATTCATATCCAAAGCTCCCTCCTTCTCCATCTCCGGCCGATATACAGCGTACCTGTGAAATTAGGTCTTAGGCCTAACTCACACCCCAAAAGCTAGCTCAAAGGGAGGAGGATTGCTCAAGCCTTATAAAGAGTCAACCCATCTCATTAATCACCGATGTGGGACTTTTGTCATTCTTTAACACCCCACCTCACGCCCAGTGCTTAGCATCTGGT